TGATTCATGGGGCAGAGGAAACAGTAAGAACATGGAAGGTACAGCCTTACATAACACCTTCACAGAAGTGGCAGCCCACCATCTTTACTATATCCAAGTAGTAAGAACAAAATCTCAGATTATTCCACCCACACTCCAAAGGAGGGGGTAATACAAGATTGCCAGTATCATAAGGACTTCTGGGAACTCTCAGACTGCCTTAGCATGCCTGGTCCATTTGTTGATTGTCTTTTAGATTCTCTTAAATTCTCTCCCTCCCCCTTACTCTTCTTCTACCCGTCTTCCTACTTCCTCTCTCTTTTCTCTCTCTCTCTCTCTCTCTCTCTCTCTCTCTCTCTTCCTCTTCCTCTTCCTCTTCCTCCTTCTCCTTCTCCTCGTCCTCGTCCCCGTCCTCGTCCCCGTCCTCGTCCTCCACCTCCTCCTCCTCGTCCTCGTCCTCGTGCTCCTCCTCTTTCTCTTTCTCTTTCTCTTTCTCTTTCTCTTTCTCTTTCTCTTTCTCTTTCTCTTTCTCTTTCTCTCTTTCTATCTCAGTCCGGAGTGCCATTTATCAGAGCACATGTAAGTGACACATCTGTTTATCAGTTACCTAGCAAAATTCTGGAACCTTTAGGTTTTCCTCCAACTTTGTGTTGCTTTATTTTTCTGCTCTTAAAAACAGAAGAGTGACTTTCCATCAATGAGCATTACCCCTTTGTTGTAACTTTAAAAAAGTGGCTCTAGAGAGAAAGATGCTAGGTCACAGAGTTCAAGGATCGTAAAAAAGAAAAAAAAGGATCCTGAAGATGGGCCTCTGGAGACTGGAGCAACTGGAGAAGAGAAAAGAGGCAGGGGGAACAGACAGAGAGAGAGAAAGAGAAAGAGAAGAATGGGAGGTGGGCAGAGTCCTTTTAAAAGGGAACATAGTAAATATGCACAGGTGGTGCTCTTGGTGGCAGCAGCTGAGGGCAAATCCTGTCAGAACTCCAAAGGCAGGCCAGTACAAATGCCTCAATACTAACAACTTTCAGGGATGCTTTGTCCTCCTTCTGACTGATAGTAAGTGGGCAGCAGCCCCTGAAAAGGGGATGGGTCTAGGTTTCTCCTTGTCCTCTCTCTTAAGTGGTTAATGATGTGGAAGCCAGTACTTGAAGGTAGTGCCAGGGGAGCTCCTATTTAAAGAAACACATTGTAAGAAGTTGCATCCTACAGTGAAAAAAAAAGTAAGGACAGTTAGTCTCTAATTTACATGTTTTATAAGTTTGAGTAGCTGGACTTTTAGCCCCCCTTCCCACCTGTGTGAAATGAAAGGAGAGCAGAGGGTATTTTGGGCACTGATAAAGGCATTTTCCACCTTCCCTGAAGATCCCCAAAGAAGGCAAGCTACAGTGGCTGCATGTTGATGGAGTAAAGCTCCTTTCTAATTGTTTCCAGTCCCACAGTTCTCACAAATGTTATTCAAATGGAAAGAGGCTTCATTTACTCCTGATATTTATTCAGCAAACCTTTTGGAGCATGTTCTGTGACCTAGCCGCTGCACTAGGTGATGAGGTTACAATAAGATAATATCTCCAGGTTTCAATTACTTATTTGCTCAAACATTAGCCTCTAAATCTTTATTCTGTTTCCCATCCATTGTTAATGATCAGAGAAAGTAGCTCTCCTTTCGGTTCTGAGAGGCCAGAGAGTGCCAGCAAATGAAGATGGCCAACTTCTTTTGTTGTTTTAGCCCCAGTTTATTATCTTTCTTTTTCTTTCATTTACTATATGCTAAATTTCAGGGGTTGGAGCATTAGTTTAATGGTAGAGTACAACCACAGGGACTTAGTTTCCTTAGTACCAGCAAGATAAAAGAAAATGAATGGTAAACCCATATCTATAGAGGCAGGTTGTATTGATCATCTACATCTGCAGAACAAATTATCCCCCAAAACTTATCCATTGAAAACAACAGCTTTGGCTATTACAGTTTCTTTTGGTTAGAAGCTCAGGCATACCTTAGCTGTGCCTTCTGATTTAGCAGCTCTCACAAAACTCTAATCAAGGGGTCACTTAGGCTGCAGTCACCTCGGGGATTCACTGGGAAAGAACTTGCTCTTGTGGTTGTTGGTAGTATTCTGATCATTGCTAGCTGTTGAGCTCCAGGGCTTCCGTTTCTCCTTGATCTGATACTTCTCGTATTACCTTGCCTCCTGGCCACCTCTGTAGAACACTTCCAGACATGCTACTTTTGTCTTTCAGAAGATTGAAAGAATGCAACCAAAAAAAAATGTTTTACAGTCTTTTGTAACCTACAGTGAAAAGTTGTAACCCACTATTTTTGTTGTTTAAGTTTACTTGTTGAGAGCCATCTCCAGGATCCTGCCTACATTCAATTGGAAAAGACTGCACTTGGTATGAATATTATGATGTAGGGATCATTGAGGTTGTGTGTGGGGTATTCACACATAGTCAGGGTGACATTATTTCTAGAGAGCATTGATAAGACATTTTAGATATAATGTCTTTCCTGTGAGCTAGCCTTGGCTCACCCATAACTGTCTGTCTTTGTCATATTTTCTGTGTTCTAAACACAAAGATTGATGGTAGGGAAGGGTTATGAGATTAGGTGTGAAAAGTAAGAAAAACTATATTTGCAAAGAGCTGTGAGGCAGTATAGCACCAGGGAGACAAATAAAAAATTGTCTATAGTCTAGAGATCTTCCATATAACTCCCAGAATCCCTGATACCTGTAAAGTAATGGAAAAACACTATATCTCCAAGGAGAGGGACAAAGGTCCAGGGAACTTCTGCTAAACAATGTTTCATTCCATTGCTAATCTTTGCCAGTACCGCATGGGAGACCCCATGGCCAATATTTGTCATCTTCTTCAGTCAGTGTGGATTTCTGCCACCTGACCTACTTTATCACATTGATTCCATTTTATGTTTAGAAAGCAAGTCATATTTAGGGTAAATACTACTTTATATTATTAATGTATCTGACATACTTGATCAATAAATTTTATCACAAATCAGCAGGACTGGCAGCCTTCTGGGAGCCTGTGACAATTGGCCCAGAATTCTGGGCTGTCACAACACTGTATGTCTGGTCACTGAAGGTTGTGCAATAGTCTGTGAATGTTCTTTTCTGTGTTTGAATAGTGGTAGCTGAAAATGCATGAGGGCTTCATCAAAGATTTTTACAACATTTTTCTTTAGTATCAGCGTGTCTGTCAAAAAAATGTCAGCTTGTACTGTTAATTTGTCCTAAAATCTAAATGGACTGAATTTTACCTCAGTTACTCTGATGTGACATTTGCCACTTAGCACAATTGGGAAAAATGGCACCCAAGTTTAACTTCCCCCAAGTGTTTCATTTGTTTTGAGATAGAGTTAGAAACTTTTAACTACCCAAACATGGAGGGGGAGGTGGTGGGCTCATAGCTATACAACGGCAAGCAAAGGGAGCAGCAGTTGTTGGCTACTCAGGAGAACTCTTCCTTATGGCCCAGTACCATGAATGTGTCAAGAGTGATTTTTGTTAGTTCATAAGCTCTATTTGTTTGTCTGTGAGTTCTGTTTTTGTATCAGAAACTATGTAAGAAGAAATGGTGCATTAAAGGATCTGTAGTTAACTGTGCTGTTTTAATTTATGCTTATTGTCACTAGTGGAAGTGTGAGAATGGGTTTCAATTGATAATAATAAATTTTACCTGTCATTACCTATTTGCTATCTGTTTACTTAGTGCAAGGCTTTAGAATAATAAAATAGTACCTGCAAGTAAAATATTGAATGGAGTATTTATTTATTTTAAATAAATGTTATTTTAAAAGGATATTCCTATAAATTATAAAAGAAAGCAAAGCTAGGTTGATTATAGAATGATGGAATTTGTGGACAAGGAAGTCTACTTATGCAAATCAACATTCCCTATGGTGGGATGCCTTGCTCAGCCTTAATACAGGGGAGAATGGCTTGGTCCTGCATCAACTTGATGTGCTGGGTTTTGTTGACTCCCCATAGGGGGCTGGCCCGTTCTGAGGAGTGGATGGGGTGGGCTGGGGAGGTGGGTGAGGGAGCTAGAGGAGGGAAAGGAGGGGGTACTGTGGAAAAAAGAAGTCAAGAAGGAAAGGCCAGGAAGGCAGCAGGTGACTATTGTGGGAGCTGGCTGACTCATGGGAAATAGGCAGACACACGGGAGAAAACAGAATTGGCTTCAGAGAAGTCTGGAATTTAGGGATGTGGATTAGAATTAGTCTCTAGGAAGGACCAATGTGGCTCAGACCTAAAGCAACAACTTACGGTCAAGTGTATGTCAGAGCAAGGTATGGGGTAATGATGGGATTTGATATATAAAGCAAAGGTTTTGGCTAGAGCAATAGCCAGAGCAGGGTCAGGATCAAGACTTTTGAATGTTTTGTCTTTCTGACCAGAGGCAGAGCTCATCTCAGGGTCTAGGGTAGGGCTAAGCAGGAAGGTGGCTATCATCTGATCTAAAAAGAGGACCATCTATGCTTCATCCCTACTCATTGCACATACTTATTTCTCCAGAAAAGGCCTTTTATGTGTGCCTCATGTGTGGTTCAACATGGTTAATAATGGCCCCTTTTCATTGGAAATGACCAGTTTGGCCAATAAGTGACATGGTCACCCTAATATTTTTTTCCAAAATGTGTCCCACAGGAAATATGTGCTGCAGAATGCTATCCAAAGGCTACCAAAGTAGAGTTCTCTGGCCACATAACTATGGGCACTTCTGAAGAATGGAGTTTCGTGGAAGAGTCTCATTGCAGAAAGTATTATTGCCTTCATGGAACTTGTCACATGGTTCACCAAATAGGGGATAGAAGCTCTAGTTTTCCATCCTTTGTTGACCAATCAGTATGAGTTTGCTTCACTGAGCCCACTCTTCTGTGGTACACATTTTAGAAATCCTTGGCTAGTAAAGATACAGGCTCCGTGATAGTTTCATTTCTATTGCTGTGATAAAATACTATGACAAAAACATCTTAAGGGAAAAAGGGTTTACTTTTGACTTACAGTTCCAGGAAATAGAGTCTACTATGGCAGGAGAGACATGGCATCAGACAGTGAAGATATGGCTGCAGGATCACATTGTATCTACACTCAGGAAGCAGAGAAGAGTAGGGTCAGGCTATGAAACCACAAAGCCCACTGAAATTATGTACTTCATCTACCTCCCAAAGACTTCATCCCCTTCCCCAGTAGCTATAGTGTCTACAGACTAAGTGTACAAACTGAAGCCTACTGGAAACATTTCATATTGAAACCACAGTGGAGTCAGAAAGGGGAGGCGCAGCCACCAGTGGAATAGATGCCAGTATTTTCTGGTTGTTGTCTGATATTGTCAGGGGGATATGAGCCTAGTTGGAATGATCATCATTCAGGTAGGTAGTTCTCAAGCTCTGCAGCAAAGTTATAGGCTAGTTAGGATCTAGACAGAGAAAGAACTTTTTGTTGCATGATATCCTTAAAAGAGACTCCAGGGAGGAAATAATGCTGTCTGCCTCTATCTATTGGGCTCTCAGGAAATAAGGACTTTTAGGTATCATCCAAGGTAATTAGAACCCAATCATCGAGAAACATATCCTGGGGTCCTGATGACAGACTCTTTGGGTTATGTAGTACCTTAATGACCATTTCTTTAGCTAAATGAATTCTCTGATGTTATGACCAAGTGATCTCATTTTTGGTAAGCTCTCATTTTTGCTTCATCTTACGTTAGATGTTTTCTACACATATGAACTCATGTGCTTAACATATTCTATGCTACTAAACCTCATATTAAGTCTGAAATTGAGTTTTATTATCCCCATTTTACAGATGTTAAGAGACAAAACTTTAGGCAAACTTAATCCTTTGAAAGTCCATAAGCAGGCATTGGCCATTAGCCCTCCCATTAACAACTTCTGGGACAAAGACACAATGAATCAGATTTATGTGACTGTGTGCTCAGGCCTACATGGAGTTCACATGGATTTAACAAGCATAAGACTATTCCACTACAAATAAAATCATGTGTTGGCAGGTTTTATTGTTGGCATGTAGAATGAGTCAATACCAAGCAAGCTAATTGAGGGAGAACAATGAAGCATTGATCGACTAGGCCTTACAAAATGTGCAGGCAGGTGTCAGTCCACACTGAAGCACTTCTTAAAATGAGATGAAGGGAATAGAGAAAGAACGGAGAGTGATTTGCTTAGCTTCTGTGATGGAGTGATACAGACAGACAAGTGGCAGAAGAAATTTCTTGTTTGCACTTGGACCAAAGAACATTTTCTTCTTTCTGACATTTTGGTAAAAGACCCATTGAAAGGACCAGGCTTTTGTGATTACATCAAGGATTCCAAAAGCAAATGCCTGTAAAAGCTTGGCATATGAGGATATTGAGGATAGCCTTCTAGGTTGGCCCATCATCTCCTCAAGGACACACAAACTTTCTAAAGAGGATCATCACTAATAATTGTGTATTTTAGGGCAGCTAGGAGTCAGTTGCAGTTGCCTCACTATGAACAGTAATTAAGCAAGATGGTAAGTGTGTTCATTGATTGACTTCAGCAGTCTAAATACACCAAAAGATCATATCATACCACATAAATGCACAAAATTCTGATAGTAATTTCTTTTGATTTTTTAAAAACTCTTTTACTGATGTATAATTGATACACAAAGAACTGCATATATGTACTGGTTTCAGTTTGAGTTTGGTTAAAAGCCAGTAATATGATGTCATCCTCCTAATCACTGATATATACAATAGCTTTCAAAATTTCTTGCTTCTTCTGGGGGTAGTGGCATATCAATATAAAACTTGCTGTCTACCCTCCTAACATGTTCTATTTTAGCAACTAGTAGCATTCTGTGTACATGGTCTCTGAAATTTATTCATTGAATGTCAGAAAAACCTTGGGCTCTTTGCACAATGGCTCTCTACTTCTACAACCCCATCAAGATAGTCTCTTCTCCTATGAGTTTTATATTGTCTCCTTGAGTAGAGGCGTGCAATATGTTTCTTCTTTTTATTTCACTAAACATAATTTCTTTCAGAAATGACAGAATTTCCTTATTTTAAAAGCTGAATAATATTCTATTGACTGTATATCCTCCATTATATTTTATCTGTCCACTTGTTAATGGCTAGTTGGATTTCTTTCTTTTGTTGAATGGACATGGAAGTGGAGTTTTTCTTCAAGATCCTGATTTCATTTTCTAAAAATATATACTTTTGGGTCACAAGCTAATTTAGTTTTCAGCCTTTGAGGAACCCTACTACTGTTTTCCACAGGTCCTATAGTATTTTACATGCCTATTGACAGTGTACCTGAGAGCTGGATGTGTAGTAGCATTGATTTTCATAAGCAAGGACTTGGGCTTGATACCTAGAACCACAAACTAATCAACCAAGCAATGAAACAAACAAACAATTAGATTAGAAACTGTGACGCTGAGTTTCAATTTCTCCTTTATATTTTTGATAACAACCATTCTGCTAGGTGTGTGGAGACATTTCATTGTAAATTTAGGTTTCCATGATTAATTAAT